TCCGGCACGCCGAAGTCAGGCCACGTGGTGTAGTGAAAGTGCAGAATCTCCCGAGTTTCCTGTGTCTGCAAAAACAGGATTGAGCAAATCTTTTAGATGGATATGTCAGAGGTCTCCAGGACAGCTGAGCTGAGCTCCAAGACCAGTTCCACCAAGCTGAAGGAGCTCCTACAGCTGCACAGCCAAGAAACCAATTACAAATAAGCATCTCTTGCTGTGAAAGTCTCCATTTGGAGCTAAGGATATCCATTTGGATAAGCAAATTCACCTGTTTGCCAACGTGGTTTAGCTTCTCCAGTATAGCTTAAATGCTCCTGTCTCAGGGTATGGCTGAGACTGCACAGCCCTGGAGTTTCCCCACATTTGTGTCATAAATACCTAAGAGTTTCATTTCCACCACAACTTGAGGCTGAGGAACAATCTGCTGCAGATTCCCCAAACGCAGAGCAGGCTGTGACCACCTCTCCCAGGCCCAGGCAGGAGCAGTGAGCTGCAGGAGATCTGTACTCACGCTCAGGTTCTCCAGTTCCAGCTGTCGCACTGTGTAATAGGATTTTATATCTTCAGATATCAATGTTAGCTTCAAGTTTGTGTCTTCAAAAAACATTTCTTTCTCCTCCTTCCGTGGCCAGTACTGTGCACACTTTATCTGAAAACAAACAGGAGACATCCATGTCATTTGTGCCTGTGTAACAGGCAAGGAATAAACATCCTTGAACACAACCTTTGCTTATGAGATGATTTCTTTATCTCCTGTATTGTAAGGAGCACCAATTCCAGTGTGAAGAATACTGGTGCTCCTTTAGGCTGCAGGTATCTGAATTTTAAGTCTACTCTGCATTTTACTGTTCTCATGTCAAATATTCAAATTTCAAAAGACACAGATATGAACAGGAGAAGAACACACTGTGGAAAAGTATTATGAACAAGCTACACATAGGAAACCATATGTTTTATTTATCTGATGGTAGATTACTTAAAATAACCCCAATTTTTGCTCATCCATCGTTCCCTTCATCTTCTGCCTGCCTTGTCTAACGTGAACTTCCCAAAAGGTCTGGACAGACAGGTCCTGTCCCAGCAAGTAAAGCAGTGGCTCAGCAGCTGGTTCCACCTCACCCTGATCATCAGGCAGAGAAAAACCTCCCTCCCTCCCAGCTCCATCCTCCTCAGACCCCCAGGGAACCGTGTGAGACTCGTTCCACAGTGCTCGAGGGTGAACAGGAGGTGCACAGGCCTCGAAAGGTGCAGTCTGTGTACACTGACAGCTCCACCCAGACACCTCAGCCAGCAGCACAGGCTCCACGTGTGTGGAGAGTCAGGCTGTGTTCCTGCTCCATTTCAGCCAAATCCACAAGAAATCAGGACCAAGATCAGAGACTGAGTAATTTTTGACTGCACCATGGTCAGTTCACCAGGTACTCAGCTCTAGGCACACTTTCTGAGATGCAGTTCCCTAGAGCCATCCCAGCCCCTTCTCTTGGCTGGCTTTAGGTGGGTTTTCATTAGAGGAAGCCACCAACACATGCTAGCACAGCAGAACTGGGTAAGTACTTACGGAGCCCTTTTCCATCACTCTGTTCAGCATGACCACACCACGGCTCTTCTGCTCCCAAACCATCTCCCAGAAGTGGCCACAAGTATTTGGCAAAGGTCCCTGCAGAGACAGAGTGCCCAGAAATCAGCAGTATGTCTTGTGTCAGTGCACTGTTCCCAGTCACAGCTACTGCTCTGGGCAATAGATTTAGACAAGTTACAAGCAACTGCTCACCTAAACCTGCACAAAACCACAGAGACACAGCTTTAAGTTCCACTTTATGACTTTACCTGTGAAAGCACAGTTAATCTTCTCCCCCATACATAAGAGGAAGAGAGATGTAGTCTCATTTGTGAGAACAGAACTGGGAGTGAAAACTGCTGCATTTTCTTAGGAAAGGTACACAAAGTCATGGGGAAATAAAACCCCACTGGGAGCAGAATTAAGGTCTATGTTAAACCACTCTGCACCACGTCATTTATATGCACTTAATGAGCTTTACAGTAAAGAGAACAAACAAAGAAACCCCATGAAAAACAACTCCAGTCACCATATGGTTTTTATTCACTGCCAGCAATTACCTGGGTGAGGATGTAGCTCCTTTGGGCCTCTTCCATTTTTATCAAACTAGCATTGATATAGTCATTGTCACCTTGGTTTAGCTTAATTCGACTGTGATCAACTGCAGCATAATTAGAAAACACTGGTTAATGTCTATGCAACAGAGCACAATCCATGCACAACCTCCCAGGATGTTAGGGCCAAGAACATGAGCTGGATGGCAAGAGCTGAGCCCCAGGCAGTGCAGAGGTGATCTCTGGGGCTGAACTCTGGAAATGCCATGCAGGTACCACAGGAGCAGCACTGCAGGAGAGCAGGGCACACACTTCACCCTCCAAAACACGTGGCAGGGATGTGCACCTGCAGTAACCCCCACAGCCACCTGCAAACCAGATCACACTGACCTATCTGTGCAGTTATCGAGTTACTGGTTTTAAATAAATCTAATTACACAACTGCTTATCTTTTGCAGCTTAAACACTCAAACCCAGCTTGTTCAAGGTTGTTAAAGGTTTGCCTAAACTTGTACTGGACAAACAGAACAGACATTCTGATTCTTATTAGCTACTGCTCCCAACCCAACCACCCCTTAACACACCGAAAGGATGATCAACATCCAACAGCAAATGTAACTCCATTGTTCTCCTGTTAGTCTCAGCTTGCTCCACTCGGGATTGAAAAAATACAAACCACCACCAAAAAACCCTCAACACACACAAGGGTTACCACATTTGGCAAGGCAGTCAAACAGACTGGGAGCAGCATTATCTAAAGGCAGAAAGGAACCACTTGTTGCTCACAACCTCAAATATTAGAACTGCTTAGTAAAGCAAACTATGTGCAACATTGCTGCTCCTGGTGGAGCATGCCAAAGGCTTCAGGAACTCCAGTCCCGTGGCTATAATGGCACCCTGTGACATCCACCTCATAAACAGATTCATTAACAAGGAGAGTTGTCTTGGATGCTTGTCCATCTAACAGAATCTTGTCCTTACAAAAGAACATTCAGTTGTCAGAAGTCATTAGAGGTCAACAGTCTGTTACAAACAATGGAAAAGAAAGTGTACTTACAGGGGCTGACATCTCTGTACCTATTTCTGTTTTTGTTTCTGGGATGTTTGGCCACTTTACATGGAAAATCACTGGCTTCGTGCCTGATGTCCTGAAACAAAAACATCAAGTCTCAGATATGAATCCATCTCATTTCATACCGTCAGCTATTTTATGACAAATACCCTTGTGACTTCTCATCCTCACGTGTAGGAGCTCTGGACAGAAAGCACTTTGGGCTCCAAATTAAGAACCAAGTTTAAATTTATCAGAATACAACACCGTGTATTAAAATACCATGAGTTTGCATGACACAGCAGCAGAACATTTACCAGACTTTACACCTTTCTGCTGCTGCTGGGGCAGGAGCTCTGCCCCAAGGCACCTCCACACAAACAGCTTTAGGCACTTGTTTGCAACACCAGTGAAACTCTCAATGGTGTTTCTGACCCAGCAACAATGAAAATGTTGGCTGTGATAGAACAACCCTTGTCTCCCCCCTTGGCACCATCACAGAGCTGTGATTTGTCTAAGATCACTTACAGCTTCATTTTGAGCTATCAGCAAGATGCCACCAAGCTGCAGAGGTTATTTGTGTCCAATTCACAGACTCAGCTGAACACATGTACCATCTCCAGCACATCACTGTGGCTCCCTCAGACACACAGAACAGCTCAGTTATCTGAGACAGTTTCACAGCTAAAGAATTCTGCTGTCCTTGGACATTAGTCCCAATTTGTTGAAACAGAACTTCACACTGTAAATAAACACTGTGCAAACAAGCAGTTCTTAAAAATGGCAGTCCTAGGAACTCCAGCAATGCTGCATTTAACTGAGATGAATGGAAAGCAGAGGAATGGAAGGGACTTATTGCAGAACTGGTATTTCAGCAGCACAGTGAGTTTAGGAACTCCTAAGACAGACACTTTGCACATGGATGAAATGAACACATGAGCCTAGTCCAGAGGCCACTGAAAATCATCACTAAAGACAATTACTGAGCTCCATTCATCCCCTTTTGCTGGGTGAGATCCCTCAGCCACAGGCCCAGGGAGCTGCTTGCTGCTCTCACAGCTCTGCACAGAGAACCATGCACAGTGCTGAGCACTGTTCTCCCTGTGGGGTACCCTGCAGCACATCCCTGTCCAGCTCTTCTGCAGCATGACCCAGGTACAATGCACACTGAATGCTGCACATCAAGAGGAGAGTCTGATCACACCAACCTGCCCGAAGAGGCAGAGTGCTCTGCAGGGCTCCTCCCTAGAATAAACCTAACATCAGCTGTTGGCTTTTTATAGCCCAGCTCGGGGCTGCCAGGAGTGCTGCTGCGAAGAATGCAGTCTGGAAAACATGATCTGGGCTGCCACAGCCCAACAGCTCAAACATGAGCCAGCTAAAATGAGTGTTTTCAGTAATTTGTCTCTGCCACCAGGTTGGTGACTGTATCTTCCAGGGGTTTATTCTTCTGTACAGGACTGACAAAACGAGGGAACTAGGAAAAAATGGTTTTCTAGACCTCTAACCACATTTCCCACAGAGCCTACACTTGCTATTTTTTTAAGTGTTAAAAAAAAGACAGCACCAAAAACCTCCACAGCTGCCCCACCACTGAGGACTCTTACGAGAAAACCAGCAAAATGCAAACCAAACCAAAACCCCTTGGGTGTTTTTCCATAAATATGGGGCTAAATCAGCAGCAGCACTAATACACACTATTATTAACACTAATACACAGCTTCCTTTCACAGCATTAACAAGTCTGAGATGAACTGCCCTGTTTTGAAAAAGAGAATGGCTCGGATGCTTCATTAGAGAGATGGAATTATACAAGGCATTCCAATATAAAGACATTACACTTAGCATATACTAGTATGTGCATACACAAACTGCTCTCAGTCTCCAGAGCTCTACAGATTCAAATACCAACATGCAGCACTGCAGGAATTGAAACTGGTGATGTATTGCCCAGGGAACAGAGAACTCAGCAGCAAACACCAGATCTTCTTCAAGATGATACGATGCCTAAGGGTACTGAAAGAGTAAGGGAGCTCCAGGAAATGCACAACTCCCATAGGCACAGAGAAAATGAAAAGAAAGAAGTTACTCATGTGCCTTCAACAGCCAATTTCAAAAGGGCAATGTATTTCTGGAGCATGTTTCAGCAAACAGAAAAAACAAAGGATGGGGGTGGGATGGTAGCAAAATGAGGGACCCAGAGATGGCACCAGGCAAGCTGCTGCCTCCTCTGACACCTCACAGCAGATAGCACTGCATTTCTGGATGTGAGGAACACAGTAAACTAGCAAATCCCAGAGGGCATCTCTGCCTGGAGCCCAGTGGCCAAATCCACACTGAAGAGATGGGCCACACTCTTCTCAGCAACGTGGGATGAAAAGTGGGTTGGGGTTTTGTTTGGTTCCTCTTTTTTTTGGGGTACAGCAGTTGCTAGAACACCTAAAGTGACCAAAAAAATTATCATCTAAGATGACTTCCAGGACATGAAGGTGACTTAAGTGGAAATCAAGACCTTCAACAGAGAAAATTATTGGGGAGAAACTACCTGGTGACGAGTTACCTGAAGTGGCCACGCTACAGACTTTCTTGTCAGAAACTGGTCCTGGTTATTGCTGGAGCCACAGAACTGCTGGTACTGGAGGTGGGGTAGGTTCAGATCTGTTCACAGCAGCCCCACGGGGAAAGCAGACTCAGCCACAGCATGGAACTGTGCTCGGAGGAACTCGCAGCCACCTGATGTCACGAGAACTGCAGGTGGTGTGTGAACACAGGGACTGATGAAGTTACAAACACCTCCTGGAATCCCTCTCAAGTCACCCTGCAGGCCCTGGCTGTTAAAAAGGAAGCTCGACATTTCGTTCCAAAGGTCGTGCAACACAAAACTTTAAAGAGGAAGGGCCAGAACTGAAGTCAGTTTTCCAAAGTCAAATGATTGGGGTTTTGAGTATGAGTCACCCTGTGCCACTCATCCCCTGGTTTTAAGTCCTGTCCCTTGGGCAAGTACCCCCAAATAGTGCAGGAGTGGAAAGAGGAAGTCTGCTGAGAGCCTGTTCTTCAAACGGAAAGTTTCTGTAGCTGTTGACTTGCAATAGTGACTGGAATGAGAAGTTCTCCAGTGACAAACAGAAGGTTGCTCTCAGTTGCACCAGTGTCTCACTCGGCCCAGCAGCATCACATTTCCTGCTGCACAGGAAGGACACAGACTGCAAGGGCAGAAGGGATGAGTCCTATGAGCACAGCCTTACTCCCCAGATCCCCACCAGAGATACACCCAGAAACCTTCCAGTAAGCCTTAGGTAAGCTCCCAGAAACAGGTGCTCATGCCATCAGCCACTCAAGCACACTGCAATGCTGTGTCTGCAGTATTTCCAGTAGAGAAACTAAAGGTGCAGCCTCAAGGCCTCCAGGGGCATCACACAGACTGCCAGGGAGCCCTGCAGCACACCTCAGCTTGATCACACTACTTTATTGCACCATAAACTCTGGAGTAGCTCAGACAAAGAGATAATGATATACTGTCATTTTAACAGTTCTGTTCCTACGGGAAGCAGCAATTGCCAAGATCTTATCAGGGGCTACAGACCTGCACGTAATCTGTCTTCTGATGTACTCACACTGAGGAAAGCAACTCACAGCAACTATAGAAAGACATATAAAAAAAGTAATTTTAGCTTAGAAGCTTAAAAAAAAGGGTTTCCTCTTAAAGCTGGCACTGAAAAAAATGATGACACTGCTGTAAAAGGTGGAAGAGTGAAAAATAGTCACAATAAAGGTCAGGTGAAAGGGGCTCTTCCCTGAGATGTCACCACGGGCTGATTTCAGAATGGACATACCCCTGTGATTCAACGAGGTGGCAAAGAGCTGCAGAGAAAACCACAAGAAAACCAGGTAGTACCAAGGGCTCCACACTAAACACCTACTTTACACAACTGGGAACAGGTCTTCAGACTCAGCAAAGGAGCCCCTGGTGAACATAAAGCACACACAGATCAGCTGCTCATTTAACCCACTTTGACAAGGAGGATTTTGTTTCTTATCCTACATTAAGCTTGACAGCAGGATTTTTGGGCAGGGACAAAAACTGAGGATGTAAGTTGTAGGCGACAAGAAGGTCACCTACAGATCAGATGAATGAACAGACAATTGCATCACACAACATTAATCCTAAGCAGCTGCAGACTTTTAGCCAGGTAAGCAAAATCGATGCGGATTTTAATACCCTTTAAAAACATTTTGTGCAGCCTCTTAGCTGTGCTTTCAAGTAAAATATGGCAGTATTGATTGGCTTACAAATCTCCTCAGAACCAAAAAGCAGCTGCCTGGCACAGCGAGCTTGTCCCTGGGGTCAGGCAGCAGGGAGAGAGGAAGGGCCAGGCTGGTTTAAAGTTCAACACCTCCATCAGCTGAGGTTAAAATAATAAATAAACAAAAATCAGGGACTTACAACACGGTTTTCCTAGAAAGCCCCTTGCTCATTCAGCAGCACAGGGCAGCCTGGTAGGGCCTGACACCGGTCAGCTGGTGGGAGGCACGGAAATAACCCCCAGGAGAATGTAAACTGGGCATGGCTGCGATATTAAATCATATCAACACGTGGCAAAGTGTACTCATTTGTCCTGGGACTGTGTTTATTGCAGCCAGCCAAGATTACAGATTGTCTCTCACCACGGACTAGTTCCAGCACACCCAACTGCAGAGACTCAAAATTATAAAGCACCTTACTGTCCTCACTTTATCTTGTTAACACTGTAAATGCTCAATTAAACACCTCCACCTGAGCAGTTCTCACCACTCGGGTCTGTACTTCCATGAGGGAGGAAGCCACAGACCTGTGCCACCTCAGATGTTCACAGTACATCTGTTTTGCATGCTACCATAAGGAAGACATTGCTGCTGGAGAAAGCACTGCAATTCTGCACAGCTCAGCTGCTCTGGTTCTCATATGGCTTCAACATCATCTGCAACCCGTAAAAAGTGATTTTCCAACCTTTTTGAAGGTTGCAGCAGAGCCAGGGAAATCAAAGAGCCAAACTCTAGTTAATCAGGTTAAGGATTTGAGACTTCTCAAATTTCAGCAAGTTCAAAATACAGTTTGTCCTT